AAGGAAAAAGACCAGCAGCTTTAAAAATGAACAACTTCTTGTTTTGTTCCATTCATGCCTTTTCTTTAAGTCAACACGAACCCTTCAAAACTTATCAGTGTTTCAGGCTTCCTACAGATTTAAGCAAAAACAGATAGTAACCTCCAAAATGAAATTATTTTTATGGGATGGTGAAGAGGAGGATATGGGGAAGATGAATTGAAGCTGTCTCTGATCACTTACTGCTTTGCCATGGAATAATTGTAGGAGGCTAGAAAAAGCACCAAGGGGTGCTGAATGGATTAAAAGCCGGTCTTATGCAGGCAGATGGATATTTATATCCCAGCACCGTAAACACAAAGCAAAAGCCAGTATTTGCCTCACAGAAGACCAGGCCTGGAGAAGGGAGATGTCTCACCTAGAAGCTTCATCTCTCCCACCACCCTTGTGATCGGACTCTATCTTCTCCCCGGTGCCAGGTCAGATCTCTACCCTGTGTTACCCACTGTGTGTCCCAATAGCTCTGCTCAGCTTTCCAGTCAGATAGACTTAACAGCAATCCGGGGTCTATAAAGGAAAACGGAATTTGGCCTCTGACTGCATATACCTGTGCTCTAAGAATTCCTCTTCTTTTTCTTTTCTTCTCTCTCTGAGACCTCACAGCAACCCGGGATTCAGTCAAGCTATTCCTACATCAGGTCTATGAAAGGAAAATGGAATTTGGCCTCTGACTGCATGTACCTGTGCTCTAAGAATCCCTCTTCTTTTTCTTTTCTTCTCTCTCTCTCTCTCTTTTTTTTTTTTTTTTAACAGAGATCCAAGTGGAAGTATCCTTATGATAGGTAAAACCTGAAACTTGCCTTGGAGCAATTGGAAAGTTTAAGTCACATTATGCTGAAGAGAAAATGTTACATTGCATATTTCACCTCAGCAGTCCATCTTCTCCTGTGTAACATTCCAGTCACTCCACTACCCGCTAAAGGATGAAACTAATGCCTTACCAACCACCCCAGGCACTGCTGATGGTCTGTGCTACAAACGCACGGGAATGGTTTTGGTGGCGTACACGGGAATAGGCCGTGACGTTACTCTCAGCAATATGACATGCTGAGTTGGGCAAGTATTCCTTTTCTAAACCCACCTTCAAATAGATGCTCAGAGACCCAATACCACCCACCCCTAACACAAGGCATTCAACATTTTTTAAGGGAAGAAATTAGAGTCAAAACAACTAGTTAGAAGAAAAAATAAAAGCAGTAATTTTTCTGCTACAATAATAATGTTTACTCAGTTGAACAAATTCTAGGGCTCTATTTTTCTCTGCTCCTGCATTAAAAGAATCTCAAAAGTGAAAATGGAACCTGGCAAGACTCGATAACTTAATGATACAGAATTTAAATACAAAAGCAATAAACTCCTATGTCTTTTATTTCCTTTCAAATTAGTCTTTATCTGCACTATATCGAAAACAAAACCCAAAACATGGTCCTGAAATCTTTTCAAACTCACTGCAATTTAAATCCCCAGGCTACATTCGAAACAGGAGCGTAACAGCCAAAGACCTATATCATTCCTACTAAATCACTCAGCTTTTAAAAACAGACCTTCCTTAGCAGTTAGCTTTGTACAGATCTGGCTCACCAAAGACTTTGGACATGTTTGATTCTTTATCAAAGGTCACTCTTAGAGATGGAAATAGATTCCTGACTTAGATTCCCCAGACATGAAGGACTCAAAGGAGGAAATGGGAAGTTACGGAGGATAGTCAGCACATGCAGACATTTATTAAATCCTGGCTTCAAAGAAGAATAACAGGATACAACAGAGCCTTCCCAGTAGTTTATTTTGGGCAATGTTGTCAGCACAAATCTTGCGTACCTTTCACAGAGGCTGTCCGTGTGCAGTTGTATAAAATGGCTAGTTCACCAAACGCGGTCCACACAGGTATTGAGGAGAGCAGCTTGTTCTGCTGAAAGACCTCCAGACTGCCCTCTGTCAAAAATCAGGATAAGGAGCGTTAAAACTGAGCTCTACTACACACATTACCTAAGGTGGTTGAGATTACCTTCCCAGCAAACTAGTCTCGTAACAGTGCTCATAAGAGAAACTGCTCATGCAGTTTTCTCATATGCATGTGAGTGTGTGTATGTAGGGCAGACAGCAGGAAAAGAAGCAAGACCTCCTTTAAGAAATGGTCCTTGAGTCTTATTATACGTTTAGCAGAAGTCAAAGTTATCGCGACTATTTCTTCTTAGGTTTATGTCCCAAGAAATCTGTCCCTTAAACATGTCCTTAAAAGTCTGGCTCTCTTCTCTACAAGACATTATCTCCTCAGAAAAGGAAGGCTACTGAACCATCAAAACTCCTGAGCTCACAAACTCATCTTCAAAATTTTATCGTTTGGCTTACTAAGAATATAGCTCCCCATTATGAGCCCTGTCTCCCCTTTTTCCCTGCACCATCTATGTTATATAAGCAGAGCTACCAATTTTTTTTTTTTTACACTAACGCATCTACATGAGGCCAGAAGACAGCAGATGTGCTTTCTAATCTATGCCATGTACTCTTCTGCCTTCAATATTTCTGCCTCAACGGAGCAGCTTTTCATACTCCCTGCAGCATGAACTCTAATTTTAAGAGCTGCTAGACCTCCTAGCAGTCCAGAATTAATGAAGTTTGCAAATGAATTACAAATGCAAATTTCTTTTTCTTTAACGCTGTCTTTCTGTCCTTTATTTCTTTTAGTGGTGAGATGATGAAAGAGAACTTTTCCTCCAGCGTAACTCCCAGGTGTTCGACTCCAGTAGAGCTGATGTCTGCATGCTGTTAATTTAGGTTTGAGTGATGGAGCAGCAGCAATCAACAAAGAAGACAGCAGCAAGATAATTTCAGATCTGCTGTTGTTATTTTATGAGGTTGTCTTTGCCCAGCTGTCTTTAAAAAATAAAATGCCCTGAACTCTGGGAATAGCTAACTCGGACCTTGTCTCTCAAGATCCGACACATAGGAAACTGGTAAGAGCTCTTAGAAATGTTGAAAAGTAAGTTTACTTTAGAAATGGTTCCACCATAGAGCAGCTTGCTGGGTTTTAAACTGTATCTGCTCTTCTTTTGGACAAGAGATGTTTGGCTGTATCTGCAAGAGCTGGGATTAGCTGGCCTCTAAGCTTTCCGAGTGAAGGAGGTCTCTCAAGTTCTTTTACACAGGAAATAATAGCATTACATCCAGGTAAAAGTTTCAAAGGCACTTTCTGTTGCCCTCTCGCTGTTTCACAAAAACAAACAAACAAACAAAATACAGGCAAAATTTCCATTATTCTCAGCAGGGTCAGTATGGATAATTTAGGAGAACAAAAGTCAACAACTGAAGCCTCCTGCAAAGACTCCTAAGTGACTTCCCTCTTTCTGGCACACGTGCACTGTACAAACAAGCAGCACTTACCTTTGAGTACAAAAATGTGATTGCCTGGCTCTCCCTGTCTGATAATGTAGCTCCCTTGCTGGTAAGTCCTTTCATACATACATTCCACCATGTCCCGGATCTGCTGAGGCTCCAGCCTCTTCAGGAACTGATTTTTATTCAGGGCATCTGTGATAAGCTTCTTCTCACTGGTTTCAATTTAAAAAAAAAAAAAAAAACACAGTTTAACAGATCTAGTATCGCAGGAGCATTCTATTCCTTCATCTCAAAATAGCTTCAACTTTCTGAAGCATCTAAATATAAAGCCTGTTCCTGCTTCTATACAAATACACAAGGTTATCAATATTAGGTTGTGCAGAAAAAATATTTGAGAGGGAATTGATTATTTAAGTCATATCTACCCACCTTACTATGCACAAAGTGGCTTAAAAGCAATAATGGTAACGACAAGAAGCCAGTAAATAAAAAACAGTATCTGTGGTAATGATTGTGCTTAGAGCCTGAATTAGAAATCATAAAACTTTTTACCAGAAGCAAGTATATTAGAATATAATCATTAACTTCATTTTCTGCTAAAAATGATATTTAGTTAATCCTGCCCTACATCCTGTACACAGTACTGCAATAAAACATAGAAATGGCTGATGAAGTGATATGTAATAGTAAGGGCTGTAGCTTTCAGAGACGCAGATAGAGGGCTGCACTGTTTTCAGAAAGTGCTGCTGGCTTCTCAGTGCAGGATCTAAGATGACCAAAACCATGGTTCAGGTTCTGCATCAGGTGCTTGCTGATCTCATGGCCCACATGCCAGCTCTCTGCAACAGCAGTTCTCAACGGTTTTGCTCAGTTTCCCCAATACTGATCCCAACTGTGAGGAGAGCTGCTGGAAATACCAAGTTTTCCTAGAAGGACAGAAGGCATCCAACTATACTCCTGCTAGCCACCGCCACTGTGGATACTTGAGAGCTAAAAAGGGGTGCACAGCTATACACACCCATCTTCCAGTCTTTTTTTTTTAAGTATTTCTCTAAGGTGCACTGCAAGCAGGATTAGCTTTCTTTCACCACCTGCTGCTTCTCCTGCCTTCAGGCCTCTTTCCGCTATTAGCTGTTGTACCTGTATCCCTCTTGGAATCTATTCCCAAACACCCATCCAGAAAGAGCACTTGCCAGTCAAGCAACTGCTTTTTGACAACAGGATTGCCCAATTATTTCCATTTTAAGACTAAGGAATCTATGTGTCATCACACAGGTAAAAGACATGACCCATCCTCTGTGGAGCGACACCTCCTACTCATGTATACGCAATGTGTCCAGTTCTTGTTCCCCTTCCAGCAATGGCCACAGCCAAGATCCTGAGCCACACTGGGATGGGATTGTACATGGGCAGCTTAAGCACTGCTGATAGAGGTTGCAAGTTCTGGAAAAATGGAAAAACAAGCCCCACAGACACAGATAACTGGGGACACTCACATGAATAACTTTGGACATAGAATCATTGTGAGTGGAAAAGCCTTTCAAGATGGAGTCCAATCGTAAACCCTTCAACACCATGCCTGCTAAGCCATGTCCCTAAGTGCCTCAAATATACGTCTCCTGAATTGCCAGGTTCTTCCCTGTAAGACAGTAAGACAAGCAGCATTTTTAATGCACTGAACCACAAGGAAACTTACCCTTGGCAATTCATCCATCCCCAAAGAAAAAAAGTAAAATAATTTCGATTTGAAAGATTCTTGAAAGAAACCTGCTTTCAAAAAGATCATGTTCACACCTCCAAAATTTTCAGGTCTTAGCCAAAATTTTTCAAAGATCAAATTTCCATCTAGAAAATCATGGTTTTTCGGAAGCTGAGAGAAAAGATGAACATATTCAACTATCTCAGGAGATTAAATATACACATAAGAAATAATCCACTCATATTTGACAGTTAAAGCACTGTGCAAAGCTTCTAGGCCTTTTGCTAAAATCAGTCACGTTGACCTATGCCAAACAAAAATATTGTACTCAAAAGCCCTGCAAAATGAATCCTTGACGATTATGCTGCTTGTTGCAACAGCTGCTTCGAAAGGTGTCTAGCAATACTTGATGAAAATCAAGAAGATCCCCTGGAGATCTTCCTGTAACACAGCTAGGTGATATTTTCTCACATTTGCCACTTTCTAAAATATTTGGAAGAGAAAAAAGGACAAAGCTTGCCCAAAGCTTCACCCCTACAAAATGCCTGAGCAAAATCTTTCATCACTACTTATTTTGTTGAAGAAAGCGTAAATATATGTATTTATCTACTCATTTTCCCTTCTGAGCATGTGATGCATGGGGGTTTATAAAATCTACTAACTAAAAAGTGAGAAAAAAGCATTATGCCTAGACCTAAAAGATACACATCTAAAGATAAACAACTACGACTAGGCTGACTGTGGCAATAGAATAAAAATGCAAACTTGTAAATGACTGAAATATTTCTGAGCATGTTCTTCAAGGTTTTTAACTTGGAACTTGTCAACTTTTAGCAGGAACTGAGGTTTCATTAATATTGTATAATTCTATCAACTTAAGGCAGCCATTCTTGCTGTATTGTATTCCAAGCTACCTAGTCTTTGCAAAGCAGATAACAAGGATCCATACTCAAATTTATGTTTGAGTTTCAGACTTTTAGCTGGAAAAATACATGAACTCTTGGGGTCTAAACTTTGTGTAAACAAAAACTACCTGTCTATTACCTGTGATTTTAGACAAAAATCAAGATTATTACTGCAAAATATCACTGTAAAAACCAAAACCTGCAATTGCTGTAATGTCAACAATAATAAAAGTCCAAACTCAGCTATACAATTTTCTTCCTAAGTCCTGGACATGCTCTTGGAGTAAAGCCCAGGAATATTGCCACTTCACGTCCTAGAGCAAGAGCTACAGAGTTACAAAACAGTTAGTTATGGAAGAAGTGTAACTTTTTAGGTAAAATTTTTTTAAATTTCTATTTTAATTAAATCTTAAAACTTTTCTTAATTTTTAATTAGATCTTGTAATTAAACCTTTTTTTCCCCCCATTAAAAAGAAGAAACACTAGGTAAAACTTCAAGAAGATTAATATAAGAAAATATTATTTAATCTGTGATATAATCTAATCGAAAGTTAGGACATCCTACAGCTGATTTTCTGAATTCCAGCCATTCAAACCTTATCACACAACAGATATACTGTAAAATACCTTTTTCTTCAGTCATAATTCTGGCTCACAGGAAGAAAGTCTACTTTTTATGCTGTACAGAATACATGGCAAATAGTCTGGCATGCTAATCACTCTGGCAAAGTTTTTGCATTTTCTAGCACTAGATAATGCAACAGAAATCATGAGTTCCATTTCATTCTCACATTACCTATTCTCAAGACAATAATTAAGAGACAAATCAAAGATTTTGGCCATCATAGAAGACTACAACTTGAATTGAAATTAAAGAATGTGCAAATGAAGGAAACTGGGAAAGTGTTGAAGAGAACAGAAGGAAACAAAGGAACAAATGGAGTAATAGGAAAGCTGTAAATGGTGGAGAGGAGGAGGAAACTGGGAAAGCATTGAAGAGAACAGAAGGTACAAACGGAGTAGTAGGAAAGCTGTAAATGGTGGAGAGGAGAGAGAAGAATGGTCTTCTCTTGCTCTTTCAGGCAAACCTAAAACATTTTTTTCTTTCAGTGAAATGAAGATCAGTCTATTTTGAATCCTAACGAATCAGTGCGAAACCTACCACTAACAAAGATAATCTTTGAATCCCATTCAAAGATTTTCCAGAGATGAAAGCGGTAGAAAAAGAAAGGGGAGAACATCTTTATCTGGTTGTGTTATACTGTATCTCTTTCAGAAAGAAATGTGAGATAACATCCAAAAATAGAAAATATTTTAAAGTGCTCAGCCACTGCGCCCAGAACAAAAACATCCAGGCCTCTTTGCTTATCTAATCTATCCTATGATCAGCACTGCATTTAGACTGTGTAAGCTGCAATATTTGCATTCATCCTAAGCAGCCATGTCTGTGGTGCACTTTTTTCCCCATTGCCTGGCTATTTTCTTTGCTTCATTCCTGTACTTCTGAAGGCGTGCTAGAGAAACAGCTGCTGGACTTGAGTATACAGATCACGCTGGGAGAAGCCAGGCAATTACAAACAGAATAATTTTCATACAATTTTTTGAAACAACCAAGCCACTGGAGATAGGATATTATCACAGTTCTTTTATTCTGGAAAAATAGTGCCGGCTGAAGCTTGCAGCTCCTGATGGTGGCTCAGACATCCTTTCTGGTTCATGAGACACTTCTAACGTGTAATGCTGGACATGCCTGGTGATAACTCAATCCGGACTGACAACTTTTATCATGTCAGTTATAGCAAGGATCCATGCCATGAATCCTTCATAAAATAATCATACAGCTCCCCACAGATTCGAGACACTTGAGCTGGACAGCAATATGCTCAGGCAGATATGGTTAACTCTGTCCACAAGGTCAGCTGCTGTCACAGATACCACTGGCTTTTGAAGAGGTATAATTGGGTTCCAAGAGGAAAACGTAAATTCAGAACCCTAACAGTCCCTAAAACTGGCAAAAGCTGAAACGCAGGAAAAAGCCTCCAGAAGGATAATCACCCTATACAAACCATTCTGTTATATACTGTACCAGATTATGTCAACACTGAGCTCAGAGTAAGTGTCTACAATTGCACCCAAGAGACTTAAGATGCAGCCAGGTGCTCTTCCCAAACCATCCTTACAGTAATAATCTGAGTTTATATGATTCCCTGAGTGGATTCCCTGTCTTGCCTCCATCCTTCACCTCTCCAGAAGACCCTTTACCCTTCAAAAGCTCTCATTGCTTCAGGTGCCAGGTAGGGCAATAATATGAGATCCCTCCACACACACACACACTTCAACAGGCCTTACACATCTTTCACACTTTCTTCCCAAATACCAGTGGGAATACCCTTCACTGTGACGTGTTCTAGTGAGCTCTGAAAGAATGAACAGCTTGACTGCACTGTTTAGTAAAAAACAAACAAAAAAAAAAAAAAAAACCCCAAACTCACAAGACTAGCCAGCATCCAACAGAGATATGAAAAGTATATAAAAAAAAAAAGGAGAACGAAGAGAGTGCCACTTGGAGGGCAGAGACAAGAAACGGGAAAGGACTTCTCTGGAAGGGTATGTCATTGCAACGGCAGAAACACAAGCATACGGCCGGCATGCAGTGGGCTCACCTGGAATCCTTTCGGACTCTTGCCTTTTCAAAGGAAAATCGAGCCTGCTTGCTCAGGTCGTACAGCCACGTTGTCGGTTCTGCAGACACCCCTTCCTTAGCACCTCTCCTCCTATTAGCGGAGGCTTTAATCCTCGGAGCCACTTTAAAGGGAGAAGTCTGAAGGGAGCTCTCTCCCTGGACGTTAACAACATCCTGCAGTTGGTTCAGCTGCACACACTTGTTCTGGAGTTCCTTGGTGAGTTCTGCTATGACCTTTCTCTGCACGGCCAGCTGATCCTGAAGCTCAGCAACGTGACATTCACTGGCTCGTAACTCTTCATCTTTTCTCCTCAACTCCTTTTCCAGTTCAAGCAAGCTGCTGCAAAGAACATCAACTTGTCCAGTCACATTGATGCCCAGAGCTGGGTCCTTCAAAAACTTATAGTTGCCAGCACAGCCAGTAGAGAGGTTTCCTACATGTCTATCCGGACGCTTCAGATGCTTGGGTTTCATTGATCCATTCCCCATTTCTTTCAGAGACCTAGGTAATAACATACATTTGTGGTTTTATTTAATTGCCCAACCAGAAGAAAAATAATAATTGTGATCAGAAGGCAGGTAATGAGGTTAGCATTTTACTGACAGTTCAATTTGAGATATACAACTATATCTAACATCATAGTTTACGCTTTTATCCTTTCCGGTCCTAAAAGCGGTAGAGGAAAGGGCAGGAAGAAGAGGTAGAGGTTGGTGATGCAAAGCAAAAGATTGATGGCTGCCACTTCCTTTGTGTGTGCATGGGAAGAGGTTTGTAATCTTCTATCAGCTTTACAAAGACAATATAAACAAAAACAGCAAGAAATAGAAAACCTTGTGCTCTACTGCGGAAGAAAGAAAACACTGTGAAAGAAGGAAAAAACAAAAAACTATTCTGTTTTATTTCCCCACTGAGTATACAGACCACCTTATTCCATGGGTGAACTTCTGACTGGCAGCAAGGACATGGGATTAAGGACTAGAGCTTTTGATAAATCAGAAACAATGAAAAACCACCTCTTGGGTTCCTGTTACGTAAAAGAAGAACAGGCATACTGATCTGAGTAGGGCTCTGACTAGCTAATAATCCATCTCCAGCTGTGGCCATAAGCAGATGCACAGGAAGGGCTAGCAAAAGGACAGGTTACGGACTCCATCACCCAAATGCTGTCCCAAACTCCAGATTTCCTGAGCATGATATGCTTTATCTAATACCCTCAATGGCCCTACTTGTCTTATTTTCTCTCTAACCCATATGAACCTCTTACATCCATGGTATCCCTGTTGTTGGGAGTCCAATGATGAACAGTCACTGTTTCACTGTAAGCCCATACTACTCTTGAAGAGCAATGCCTGTCTACAGACCCCATCCGTGGACCACAGCAGTGCCAGGACTCAGTTCAGCATATTTTGACAGTACTTCATTCTGTTTTTACAGCAGTAGAACTACTACCCAGCAAAACATTCTCATTAATGATTTTATTAACGTCCAACAGATAAACAGATTCTCCTATCAGACATTATAAATGGGGAAAGTAAATAAAGGTGGCACAAATACCATAACTGCAAAAGCAAAGCGCGATGTTTCCTGGGAAATAAAAGTCTTAAAGCCTTTGGAGCAGTGCTGTGTTCTAAGTCCTCCTGCCAGCCCAGCACCACTGAGAACAGAAAAAGCATCTTCTGTTAGTCAATGCCAAAAAAAAAAAAGGAGAAGAAATACCAGGTTTCACTTTCTTATCTTTCTGCATTTTCACCCCCATGACTATAAAATATAAGACAGGAGAACCAAAAGAGCTTTGCCAAAGGTAGAGAAATGTGCATCTGATGAGTGCAAATGTAAAAGCACCACACTGGGAAATCGGGATGAGATAATTCCATCCTTCTCTTCCAGTCTGGGCTCTTGCAGCTTGCTTCCATCCTCGTCAGCCCAGTTCGCTTTTGCTCCACAGCATTTTCTCCACTCAGTCTCATTTGCAAAGGTAAATACCAGGCTCAGCCTCCCCTTAATAGATGTTCTTACAGCCCCCATGCTGCCCACTGCTCAAGCTCCTGAGGAAGTCTGCTCAACTCCACTCTGCTCTTGCCTCTGGTACAGAAGATATTTTCCATCAGAGAGTTACTTCAAGAGGCTTTATAAAAAATACTAATGCATTTTCCTATGAAATCAGGCTACCAGAGCTACCGCATATCCACTGGCCCAAAGCAGCTGCCCATCTGCCTCATGAATGGAGGAGAACATTCTCAGCCTGAACCTCAAGTGACAGGGATTAAACTAAACCCTTTTACTATGTCATTGGAGCCAGGTGAGAATGGGCTCCGGACCATGCACAGTGATTAGATGGCAAGAAAAAATTTGGGAAGCAATTTGCTTTCACTGGCTGCTGTAACTACTAACAAGTCCATGGCTCTGTTCTGGTTTGCTGTCCGTAACTGCTTAGAACTGAAGTGCTGGACAACACAGATGACATTTCAAATTTGGTCTTCCTGATGATGCTGTTTTCTTCTCTAAACTGTTCATTTTGCCCCTCTACTATATATACACCTTTTGCCCCAAGTCCCTCCTGGCATTTGGTGTTTCAACCAGGACGCTGGTAGAGAAGTTCATCACAGGTAAGTCTGCGCTGTAGAGGAGAATATAAACAACTCATGCTCATCACGGCAAAATAACTTACTTAACTCGGAAGAGAGAACTATGTGTCACCACGTATGACACAACCAAAGATCTCATCTCAGTGGACAACCATATTAAAAAAAGAAAAGCTAGAACAAATGTTACAACAGAATTAAAATGGAGAATGTAGGAAATATGCCAACATGGGCAACCGTGTGGCAGTCTCCCACAGATTACTATTGCAGGAGCAGTCCCCATGCTTCAGAGAAGGATGCCACAGACTTTTAGGATGACCTTTACAAATGGATAGGCAGAATACCCTGGGGCACAGAAAAATCCAGCAGGAAGATCAAACGCACAGATGGGATAGGTTTGCCTCGCAGGGATGAGCCCAAGATTAAAGCTCATAATGCAGAAAAGGCACAAGAGCGAATCCAGCAGGAGCTGCTGCCCTCCCATCGCATGGATGGGATTAATAGCCAGCACAGGGGGTGGCATCAACCCAGAACTGACACCCGACAGCCTCCTCCTCGTGCTGTTTACGGCTAATGGTAGAGCAAACTCAAGAAGAAGTGTTTAACAGGAAACAAGAAAAGGGGATTCGCGGCGAGTTAATGCCCAGAGAAACCCCACAAACCTTATGCCTCCATAACCCGAGCTCCGTAGTTACTGGCGATGAGAGTAAGCCCGAAAACGGAGCCTGCTCCACCCGCTGAGTACAGAGCCTCCCCCGACCCTCCGGAGCGCCCTGCCGGGGCCAAGCCCGGGGCCGGCTCCACACAGCACCGCCCCGGAGCGGCGCCGCTTGTCCCGGGACGCCGCTTGTCCCGGGACG